TTTTTTTTTTTTTTTTTTTTTTGGGGTGCCGGTCTGGGGATCTGAACCCTTTGACCTTAGTGTTGTTATCACTGTGCTCTAACCAACTAAGACAACTGGCCAGCCATCAAAGGCTGAATAATATTCCCTGTATATATACGAGGGTACTTCAAAAAGTTTGTGGAAAAATAGAATAAAATAATACAGATATTTCCATGAACTTTTTGAAATACCTGTGTATATACCACACTATCTTGTCGTCTGTCAGTGGACACTTAAATTTTTTCCATATTTTGGCTATTGTGAATAATGCTGACTTGAACATGGGAGTGCAGATATCTCTATGAAGTGCTGATTTAATTTCCTTTGGGTATATACCCAGAAGAAGGATTGCTAGGTTATATGGTAATACCATTTTAATTTTTGAGGAATCTCCATACTGTTTTCCACAATGGCTGCACCAATTTACATTCTTACCAACTGTGCACAGAGACTTCCTTTTCTTTACACTCTCACCGATACTTATTATCTCTTATCTTTTTGACAATAGCCATCCTAACAGGTGTGAAGCGATATTTCATTGTAGTTTAATTTGCATTTCCCTGTTATTCGGGATGTTCAGTACCTTTTCATATACTTGGCCATTTTTATGTATTCTTTGAAGAAATGCCTGTTCAGGTCCTTGGCCCATTTTTTAAATCGTTTTGTTTTCTTGCTGTTGAGTTGTGTGGGTTTCACATATTTTTTTATTGAAACAATTCATTTTACATCTTTGTGGGGTACAGAGTTAACTACTAGTATTTGTGTACAATATGTGATGATCAAATCAGGATAATTGGCATATTCATCATTACATAATGTGCTCAATCTTTGTGTCCATTGACCAACTTTGGATATTAACCTGTGTCATACACAGTAGTCCCCTCATATCTGTGATTTTCCTTTATATGGTTTCAATTTATCAGTGGTCAACTGTAATCCAAAAATATTAAATGGAAAATTTCAGAAACAAGTAATTCACAAGTTTTAAATTAAGCACCATTCTGAGTAGCATCATGGGTACTTCTCCTGCCATCCCACTATGCCCCTCTTGGAAAGTGAATCATCCCTTTGTCCAGTGTATGAACACTGTATGCACTACAGTATTAGTCACTTAATAGCTATTTTGGTTATCAGATTGATAAAATTCAGTAGACACAGGGTTTGGTACTATCTGCAGTTTCAGGCATCCACTTGGAGTCTTGCAATGTATTCCCACTGATACGGAGGGACTACTGTACATGGTTCGCAAATATTTTCTCCCAGTCTGTATACTGCCCTTTCACTTTGTTGATTGCTTCCTTTGCTATGCAAAAGCCTTTTAGTTTTAAGTATTCCTACTTGTTTATTTTTTCTTTTTTTGCCTGAGCTTTTGGTATCTTATTCAAAATATCATTTCCATGACTAATGTCAAAGACCTTTCCCTCTATGTTTTCTTCTAGGAGTTTTACAGTTTCGGGTCTTATGTTGAGATCCTTAATCCATTTTGACTTTTTTTTCCATTGTAAATATTTGTGTAGTACAGTGTGTTATTTCGATATATGTATATATTGTACAATGATTAACTTAGAGTAGATAGCATATCCATCACCTAGACATTTATCTTTTCTTTGTGATGATTATGGTCAAAATCCTCTTTTTCTAGCTGTTTAGAAATATGCAACGTAATGTTAATAGCTCTAGTCAGCCTAGAACACCAGAACNTAGCTGTTTAGAAATATGCAACGTAATGTTAATAGCTCTAGTCAGCCTAGAACACCAGAACGTATTCTCCTCCCCACCCCACAACACCCCACTCCATTTTGAGTTGATTTTGTGTGTGGTATATTATGAGTCCAATTCCATTCTTTTGTGTTCCGATATCCAATTTTTTCAACACCATTTATTGAAAGACTATCCTTTTGCCACTGTGTCTTACTGGTACCCTCGTTGAAACCAATTAAGAGTTTCTATGCAGAAAAATAGCTTCTACTATTAATAGATAAAATAGTGTAGAAACTTGACAGCCGGATGGACAGATAATATGAAGAAGCAATTCACTAAAGAAGAAACACTAAATAGTCAAATAAACAAAAACAAAGCAAAACAGAACAATTACTTCAATAAAAAATGAAATTAGAAAAAAAAATTTCTGAAAAGACTTAACTCACCTAACTCACAGTCAGATAAATACACATTAAAAAACAGTATTTCTAACTGGATTAATTTTTGTGAGGGATGGTTTATGATATTTATCTCTTTTGTAAATCCTTCTTTCTCTATGAATAAATCCTTTTTCTTTATGAATAAATAGTGTGGTTTTGTGTTATTTATGTTAGGTTATTTATGTTTTT